AATGAGGACCCGGATTGTTGTTGGGGGCAATATGCTGACTCTGTAAAACGCTTAGAGAGGGCTGAAAGCCCTATGAAGCGGTATATAAGTCTAACTGCTATTGCTATTGCTATCTGTTGCGGTTACACTAATGTTTTGTACTAAGCACACATTTACAGATGATGGTATGAATGGCCCCTTCAAATCTACTAATTTTATTTTAAAAGGATGTAACTTTTTATTCAATAGAAATGACTTATAATAGAGTGCAATAAATCTGAATATTTGTAGGTAGGAATAGGAAGTACTGCCAATTTGTCTCTCTTCCTCTTTCTACCATCCAACTGAAATCCACATATTCAAATTACAATGAAGTTATACGAATCAACTTACTCGGAAAGTATCAGTTTTGGTTCCATCATGACCATAATCTATAATCAGTGCTGCTCCTCCATTGTTTTCAACATTAGAAGCGAGCTTCTGGATGGTGACACCAGCATCAGGACATACTTCCACATGATCTCTGGATTCTTGATCCTAATATAAAATTTAAGTTGAACTATAATTGTTAAAACGATCCATAATGCCATGTTGCAATATACATCTTGTACAAAGAACAGTGATTTTTGAATTATTACTTTCTTTGCTAAGCACCATGTTTATAAGGGAATAGAAGTGTTTCAACAGAATTTCAATTTTTAGACAGCTTTAGAAGAAATATAGCAATAAATTAATTACATAAATACTCTCTTAGTAAAATATTCCTGAAAGTTATATAAAAAAGTTAGCTCTGATGTATATGTTGACTAGAATATATGACATCAATTTTAATTTAATTGTATTAAACATTTTGATTAAATCAAGGTGACGAGCTTAATGTTTTGCTGTGAAGTAAATAGACCATTACTGCCTGTCTAAAAACAAAAAAAAGGAATATTGCACATTTAGTTCTGTCTGGCATAGCGTTTCCATATTACGACAAGAGAAATGCATAAAACAGCAGCTGAAAAAAAATTATAACAGCTGTGATTGCTTCAGCTAAATACATTTTAAAGAATGATGATCTTGGACCATTATAGAATTGCCGTACAATTTAAAAAGAAAAACCCACCAGATTATATAACCTAGGAATAGAATTAAAATAATCAGAAATTTACATGTATGAAGGATTTTGAGGCAGGAGTGGAAGATGGTGCAAGGACAAATCGCAGTTTATCAGAAGCTTCTGGATCAATATCAACCAACAATTCACGCCACCCATTTTCTGTTTTCTGTTAATTGAAAAGGCAAAATAGAATACTATGGATTCATTGGATAAGTATACTGACTTTCACTTCTGATTAGGTTTGTTTAAAACAAATCTCGGGCAAGAAAGGGCAAAATCTATCTCAGTATAGAGATGTTTCTTTCAGAATTTTGTTGCAAAGAATTGCTGAAGGACAGAAGCTACATTAGTTGTAATGGTGGTTTGCACACACAATCCTACAATTTTAGAATTAAATTCTAAGTCTTGGAGCATTTGTTAGTAATAACACATTTAATAGGCCATCATCACCCATGACTAGATGCTTGCCAACAACTGCAGCATTTGCTTAACAATCACTGTAAAATGTCATAAAATTAGGCGGGGTCCTACTTTATGACCTTTACGACTTATCATCGAAATTGTGGGCACAATTATAGCTGTGCCTTGAAGACTATCTGTAGTAATGAATTTGATCTTTCCCTCTCTTGCACTTGTGATTGTGCATAGGGCTTCTCAAATTCATGTGCTGTGGTTCCATGAAATCTGCTGTGTAATTTACAAAGCGTGATAATTACATTATTTTTTATGTTTTGTGACTTATGTAATAAGTATACTTATAAGATTATATAATCATTTGGAATATATGTCAATCTTGCAGTTATAAATTTATATATTTAATATTACATAAAACTCCAGTTTCTTATATATTAAAGAATATATAATTAAAAAGTTCTTGATGATGTGACTTTTTTCTTATTTGCAAATGTCACATTAATACACTCCCTATAGTTTATTATAATAACTATCTTGTTATAAATATCTATACTAATAAGGTCCCTATTTCTACATCTCAGCAAACACTGAACAATTTTTAAGTCAAATCTTATAGTAGTGTGTGATCATACCTGAAACTTATGAATAGGCAGAGCATCAAGAAATTCATGTGCTAAATAAAAGCTATTGCCTAGGTAGAGGGGAAAAAGGTTCAGTCAAAAATAAAAATGCCTTAATTTCTATAATATATAGCCAAAATCTTTATTAGGAACTATTTTTATGAATGACTCATTTGAGCTAAATCATGTCAAAATTTATAATTTTAGTGTACTCAATTATATTTCAATATATGTTGCAGGAGTAACTGCTTTTATTTTACTTATCAAGAAAACTGCATGGACAAACGAGAAACAATGACTGTTGACTGCTGGAGAGAACCTTTTTATCCAGATCAGGGGTGTCAAACTTGCGGTGTCACAGTGGCGTCACATGACATATTGGGACTTTCCCTCCCTTCGCTAAACTGGAGGGAGGCAGAGCCAGCACGTGATGCATCCAGCCTGTGGGCCATACCCCCGATCTAGATGGTTACTGAGAGTCGATACCTATTTGAAACCTTAATGGATCAAGGCTTCTGGATTAATTTGGTTACATACAGATTACAGATTTTTTTAGAATGCAGTACTGCAGGCTGACTGCTGGATGCTTGCAATTTAGCAGTTCAAATCCTACCATGCTCAAGGTGACTCAGACTTCCATCCTTCTGAGGTGGATAAAATGAGGACCCAGATTGTTGGGGGCAATATTCTGACTCTGTAAACTGCTTAGAGGGGCTGTAAAGCACTGTAAAGTGGTATATAGGTCTAAGTGCTATTGCTATACATTAATAAAACAATGATAGAATGCAAATGTACAGAAATCCAAGAGGATGCTACAGGCTTACCATTTCCTGAAATAATTCTTAAATACAAAATGAGGGTCTACTGCGAAACTGTTTACAGACATAAACAAACTGACTCTTTCAAGGGTTTAATTGGATATTTTGAATGTTTTCATGCTCATTAAAGCCGAATCATAGTTAAATGTATCTTAACTGATTATCTCCCTTCATTGCAAACTTTTAACTATTGACTAATAAATAATGCTTAGTCTCAACTACTGACTGAAAAGCAATAAATGAAGTAGTTCTTACCTTCTGGCACTTCATTCAAGTTTCTATACCAGAAAATTGGTATTCCAGTCTTACTAATTCCATGCATGTAAGCACTGGAGCTTTCTGGCAACTCTACTTTCTCATTTGTCAGCATTGATGCCTGCATTTCACTTAACTTTGGACTGACTTCCACCAAATGAACAGAAATTTCACAGTTAGCAAGTATGGAGCTCAGCTGAGTAAAAACCTATGAGCACAGAAAATTACTGTTATAGCTTACATCTACTATCTGTCTGTTCATTCACCCCCCTCTAAAGCTGGATTTGGAAACAAGAATCCAACATATTTATTTAGTTGGATAAATCTAATCTTTTTCAAAAAATTTTACTGCCCTCATTACCTGGTTTTAATTAATGTTTTTTTGTCCCTTTCTTCTTCCTTTTTTCAAGTTTTGTCTATTCTTGCAAATGTAGCACAATATGCTAAATATCACATTAGCCTCAGTGTCCCACTCCACACCAGTTCTATATCACTGAGATAAATGTCTCAGCTAGCATACAACAGTTTGGAATTCCTACAAATTAATTCTGGTGGCACAGTGGTTAAAGTGCAGTTTTGCAGGCAAACTCTGCCCACAGCCTGGAGTTCAATCCTGAAAGAGCTCAAGGTTGACTCAGGCTCCCATCTTTCCAAGATTGGAAAATGAGGACCCAGATTGTTGTGGGCAATATGCAAGGAAAGCTTCTACGTTGTAAATTTCTCAGAGATGCTAAAATTCTACTGCTATTTTGTATTAAAAAGAATTAAATAAAAACAAGTCAGTAACATATAGCTATGGCACAAGACTGACAGTTAAACAAATAGTCACTTGACAGTTGAACAGACAAACATTGAAAGACACTTTTACTTTGGTTTCTGCTTTTCTCAATTTAGAAATGCTGTTTTGTGATCCAATATCACAAAATATGTAAATTAGTGTAAATGAAAATATCCAATGTATGTAAGGTAAGAGCTTACAAAACATGCACGTTAAGAAAAGTCTTCATCAATGCATACAAATTTGTGGATGCATGAAAGTATGTTTATATTTTTGTGCAAGCTTAAACAATCGCAAACTGATGTAGAACTGGAAAGAAATGAACTTAATTTTGAAAAATTATGTCACAGAAAATGAGTTGAGCAAATTTGTTCATCACTACCTAGTACAATACATAAAAAGACTGTTTTTACTTACTCTTAAAATATCATCTATAAGACTACCTCTACCTGGGCCCAGTTCCACCAGCTGAAATTTTGGAGATTTTCCTGTAGCCATCCATTCACTAATAAACCAAATACCTATTAACTGAAGAAAAAAAAAGCTTTTTTAACTGCAAAACTGGACACATTTATAAACTGAGTGATACATGTTGTGTATATATGATATATAAAATCACAGGAAAAGTACCCCCCATACATATTTTGCGCATAATGAAATTATTTAAATAATGTTGAAATTAATGGGAGTTGTAAATAGTTTATGTCTGCATTGGACGGACCTTGGAATCACCCAAGAAAACAGACTAGATCATCAGTTCTAATACTGGAAATAATGTTCAACTGGTGGAGGAAATTTGCTTCTAGCTCCCCAATTATCCTTGATGTTTCTCTCTTTCAAGTTCTAGAAATATTTCTTTAGTGCAGCTGAACCCTAAAACTGACATAATGGGGTATGACCAAATCAGAATTTAGTAGAACTGTTATTTCTTCTGATTTCTAAACTATTTCTATTTGCACAGCTTAAAACCACATTTTCCTTTATTTATTTATTTGTATTAAAAATATTATGCTTTTCACATACTACCTAGCAATATTACTAAACTTTCTTGAGTAGAATTTTTTTTTTACCATTAATGAAATTTAGATCTCATAAAAAGTATCAGATGAAGAAGTAAACTTTATATTAGGGCATGAAGCTTTTTTTATTTAGATAGGCTCAGAGTACTCTAAAAAAGAGCACAAATATGACAGGAATATAAAAAAATTACATTACCAATTCTTGTCAAAACATTTAAGTAGAAATTCAAACAGTAGATTATCTCAATAGTATTAAAATATAATAAATTCTAGATTAATTACAAAATTATCAGTTACAAAACACAATGTCTCAAGAACTGTTAAACCACTGGAGCCCAGAAATAAATGATAAAAGAACATTCTTGTATTTTTAGACTTTATCATTTATAATTAGGAGTCACTAGCCAGAATTCTTATAAATGACAAAAATGACATTAACAGCTATAGCATCAAGAAAATGTAGTTTTATTTGTTAAGTTCAACCAAGCTTTTGAAATTTTTTAATTTTTTTAAAAAAAGCAGTCTTAATTTACTGCTTTGTTCTTTATGTTAGATGCTTATAACTTAGATAATCATGCACATGAAAAAAATAACTATACTTTTTAAAGCTACCTCTCCAAATATCTGACTTATTTCAGGTGATGTAACAAAATCTCCCTGTTCTCCAAACATATCTTGATGCATATAGTACCCCTGGGGGGAAGAGAAAAAAGAAATTAAATATTATTTGCAACACAAAATCTTAATCCTTGATTACATTCTTCTGCTAGTCTGCTCAGAAAATTTGAAACAGTTCTCTAAGAATAATAAAGTATACATGAAAGGTTCCACACCTTGCAATATTATTTATCAAATGTAAATAGGAAGCTGAAATGATGTAATAACAGATTTGCTGCAATGTAAAAATAAGATTTCAGATGAGAAAACAAAAGTCCCTTGTTTAACATTTATAGTTGAAAATGACAAAGGGCTATTTATTTGAGTAGAAGAGATGGGACAAGCAGGGATCCTTTGGGAGAAGGATATACATACACATACATACAGTGGATATGTATGTATGTATGTATGTATGTATGTATGTATGTATCTATCTATCTATCATCTATCTATCTATCTANTAATCCCAAGGGGTTCACATACTTTTTCTTGCAACTATTTTTGTCAGGATTCTTGCATCATACCTTTTTAAAAGTATACATTTTCCAGATTTTTTAAAGGGTGAAATATAATGTCCTCTCTAAAAAGGAAGTAATTACCTAGGCAATTGTGAAGATCTAAAATTTAGCTTGAGTGTGAGGAAACAAAGGAACTATTAAATGTGAATTATTTCAAATATTTAGAGCCAGTGGATTGCATACAAGGATATTAAAACTTGCCAATGGTTTCATGAAATCTTTATTAATTATATTTGAGAAATCCTGGACAACATGAAGCAGCAGATGAGAGGTAAATGACCCTCATCTGGAGGGGAGGGAGAGAAGAAGAGCATCAATGGAAAGACAGACCAGACAGCCTGTATTGACCTGGGAAAATGTAAAATAAATTGCAAGTGATTACTAGTTAAGTGCTTGGAAACACACAATACTCAGAAGCCACTGTGGATTTGGCAGCCACAAAGCAGGCTAATCTTACTTCGTTTTCTGATTAATAATTCCTTGTAGTGATTGTATATACTATCGTAAACTTCAGCAAAATATCTGACAAACTATCCTTGACATTTTTAAACAGTAGCTTAATATGTCTGTCTTGATGGTGTGTCTATAAAATGCACCTAAGGTTGGCTCAACAATCATAGTATAAGAAGCGAATTGATAGTTCTTAATAAAGAGTGAAGTGTCGAGCAGCTCAAAAGAGTAGAAGCTCTTCAGAGACTTGGATGAAATGCAGATATAAACTTCACTGGCATATTGGAACAGCAGCCATAAAACACAATTGACAGTCCTGGAGATGTGGGGGGAGAGCTATAGAATTTATATCAAATCATACTTCAAATCCTGTTTTATGAAGCGAGAGGTTTTAAACCAGCCTTTTCCATACATTCAGTCCTGTCTATCGGAGACAAATGTTTACATTTTTTTCCATTCCTGCTTTCTTCCTAGATAGCTGTTCCAGGCTGGGCTAGCAACCTTTTACACTTTCCCTAACATCAGGTATTAAATGAGGCCACAAGACTCAATCCTAGGGATGTACTCTACCTGTACAGGAAGAGGGGAACTAATGCTATCAAATCTACTGTTGACACATTACTGAGTATGACAGCCAGGACTTTTGAAAATAGAATTAACATTAAAAAAAAAAAACTGAATAGGTTAGCAAAATGGGCTAAAAATAATGGAATGAAACTTAACAGACAAATGCAAAAGTATGCACTTAAGAAACAGGAAAAAATGCAGAGGTATACGAAGGGAAATATCTGGACAAGGAAAAATATGTGTGAAAATCATCTTCAGCTGGTGATCAGCTGAATAGAATTAGCAATGTGCCAGAGCTGCCAAAAACGCAAACGGAAGAATAGTTTCTAAACTATGGGAAATACTAATTCCACTGTATCTTGCATTGTTTAGATTTCATCTCAGTTCTGGGTGCATCGTTTTATGAAAGATTCAAACAAATTGTAACAGATACACCAACAGGCAATAGCAATAGGTAGGGAATGGATGCTGAAACTCATAAGGAGAAATTGAGGGATTTAACTATGTTTAGTCATATGAAAAAAATGATGACAAGGCATTCTTTGAGTACTAGATGAAGTAGCCATGGAGAAAAAAAGACAACACACAGTCTCTGATATCCCAGAATAGCAAAAAAATAGTGATAAGAGCAGTTTCACATGGAACCAATTAAGAGAGAAATGATTAACTGCCTTTAACTGGACAAATTTAAGAAGTTGGATAGAGCCGAGGTGGCACAGTGGTTAAATGCAGCACTGCAGGCTACTTCAGCTGACTGCAGTTCTGCAGTTCGGCTGTTCAAATCTCAC